ACGTGTCCTCGGTATTACCAAAACACTGTTACTAAGATCAAGCACCATCGGCGCACAAAGGTCCTCGCCCCCGAGGTACCCATCATATAGGATCATGCATTCAGTATGTTTTACAACCGACACGTGGCCTCGGTCTGATATGGTACCTCGGTCGGCATACCTCCCTCGGTTCCGAGATGAGCCTTTCCTCGGTGCCGAGAGGTACCCCGTCCTGGACGCTTCCTCTACTCCAAGATAAGCTATTGACGTACAGGTCATTAGCCTAGGCTAGTCTAGGCTATTCATCATGACCTCGTCTTACACAATTAGTGTCAGAACGTACTGGAATGCAGGAGTTACAGCCAATAAGGGATGGACGCGTGGCTTATGATATCACATCGAAGACAGAGAAACCGCATGCCGTTGCTGACACGCGACTTGGGAAAGCAAACTATTAATTACACCATTCCCTTGATGAGACCGCATTCAATGCGGTAAGGCTCGGAAATGAAAGGCAATAAATGCTCCTAATACAGAGCATTTATTACATCCTCCCCGAGAGGAGTACATTGTACCGTCAGCATCCCGATGACCCAGCATTGATTGCTAGGGACCCCGAGCAGTTAAGAAGAGAAGACATTTCTCATCAGATTCAGTGCGCACACTGCCTGTACCTAATGATCATCTACTGACTACACTGACAGCAATCATGAGATTTTGAGGTATAAATACTCCTTGCAAAAGGCAAGACTGGTATGCAACAAAAAACTCTTTACTACATTACACACTCAGTGTTTTCTCCTTCCTCTCTCTCTCTCAAAGACTGACTAGATCGTCGGAGGGGATACGCCGGAAAACACTCCGGCGCCCTTCTAACTTGTTCTTCTTTGTTCCAGGAACCTCTTTCAGCCTTACTAGATCGTTCTTCCGTTGCCAGGGTCTCCCATTGCCGTTCCAGGTTACCACCGGACCTCGCAGGCTGTTCCAAGCAGCGTGTTTGGTCACTCAACCGGCTCACTCGAGTTCACCAAGGGAGAGATCTGTTCTCGTTTTTTATATTGTGCAGGATCTTGCACGCACATGATATATATACATATATTATGTATACATTAATTTCATATAAAAATATAATTATAAAATATGTATTTATAATATATATATATATATATATATATAGTTTAAAAAAATTAAAAAAAAATTTCATCTTAACTAGAGATAAAAAAATTTGACTCAACACGATAACACGACTCGAATTCAATACGAATTTTATGATATAAACTTGATTATATATTGACATGAACTTAAAAATGACCTGACACGCAAAAAAGAAATATAAAATGTTCATATTCAGTTTAACTAGTCAAACTCAAAATTAACATCATTAACGCGTTTATTTAAAAATAAATATTTTCTCTATTTTCTCGTTTGTATGGTAACACAAAATTAACACGAAACTAATATGTTTAACTAATATTATAAATGTAAAATATTAATTATTTGTAACTATTTATTAAGTACTGACATAATTATTATATAAAAAGATATTTTTACTTATTATTATTATATTTATTTAAGTTAATTTTTAGTTTGTAGAAAAAATATTAACATGTTAATTTTTAGTTTGTAAAAAAATATTAACATGGATTTATTTGAGTGAAAATAAAATATTAACGTTAAATTTTTTATTCAAAGTTTATATGGGTCAACACCAATACGAATACGAACATGAACACGAACACGAGAACGAACACGAACACGAACACGACACGAAAATAAATAAGTCAATTCGCAACTCGACACAACACAATTAGTTAAATGAGTTGAGTTAGGTTTGACTAATGTTCGACATAAATCCGTAATGACTCAATACGAATCTAACACGACTCAATTGTCACCCTTAATCTTAGCCATCATAAAAAAAAATTAGTTATTTTTATTTTTCATTCATCCAACTAAATATGAAGTAAGGAAAGTGTATCATTCCTATTTTTCTTCCTTGAAGGATAAAAAATGTATCTCTCATATTTTTCATCTTTCCTATCAGATGGAGCATTACAGATTGATCAATAACTAACTTATGCCTGCCAATGTATAAAAATTGTTTCGACATCAGCAGAAATAACAAATTTGAAATTGTTAAAAACAAAAGGGAAAAGTGATAGGATGATGTGTCATCGCATTATGAGCTGGCCTAGAGGTGACAATCTTAACCCATTATTCATTAATCCGCTCAACTCGTCCATAAATAAGTGGGTTGAGTACTTATATCTATATAATAAAATGCAATACAATTCAAATTTCAAAAGATAAACATAATGACTTTTACTTTTCGAGGATGAGATCTCTTTAAATTTTATTTTAAAGTTAATCCGTCGATTAATATTAACACCCTAAATTTAATAGGAAAATAGACCCTAAGAGTATGTTTGAGTAACTTTTTAAAAATGTTTCTAGATTTTATAACTTCTCATAAGTACTTTGAAAACAAAAATATTGTTTTGGAACCGCTCCACCCCCACCAATACCACCACCACCATCTCTACTATAACAATTACCACCATTACTATTGTTGTCACGATTCTCATTGTCGCCACCCTACCTTCACCCCATCACCACTATAGCAGCTACCCCATCACCCACCTCTTCACCAACAACCACCACCATCGCCCCACTATCACTACTAGCCTCCCACCATCATTACTACTACTATCGTTGTCGCCACCTTATCACCACCGCTATTATCTCACTATCACTACCACTATCGTCGCCTTACCATTACCACCACTGTTCTACCATCACTCCTACCATCTTCATCGCCTCATCACCGTTGTCACTGTTGCACAACTACCACCATCAACAACGGTAATCATCACCCATCACAACTGTCACTGATTCTCACCATTTCAACTGTCGCCCACTACTGGTCGCCCCCACCATAATCGGTATTTAAAATTTATTTTTTTTCTTCTATCTTTGTAATTTGATTTTAGGTGTGAATACAAATATATTTATCGTTGACCATTTTTTTTTATTACTCCGAGCCTTCAGACACAAGAATAACTAGTTAATTAATATGAGTTCTAAATAGGTTGTGTAATATGATTCATTTTAATTAAATGGGTTAATATGAATTATAAATGGGTACCCATTGGGTTGAATGTTTATTTTTTTATTAAATAACACAAGTAATAAAATTAAATAAATATACTTATATATCAAAAAATACACACATATACACTAATACACCAAAATATATACACACTAGTACACTAAAAACACACACTAATACAACACGCCATGACCCACATGTTGACCCACGACCCCATGGGTTGACCCATAACCCACAGACCAACTCAAAGCCCACAATCGACCCCAACCTATTATGTGTATATTTTTTTTTATTAAATGTGTTTATATATGCGTGTGTATTTTGTTGTATTAATGTATATTTTTACTGTATTAGTGTGTATATTTTTAGTATATTAGTTTGTGTGTATTTTGGTGTATTAGTGTGTATGTTTATTTTTTGGTATATTACTAATGTGTGTGTGTGTATTTTGATGTATTATTATGTTTATTAAAAATTTTAATTATTTTATGGGTTAATTAGTTTAACCCAACCTGTTATAAACCCAACACATTTTAACTCATTTACTACGTGAGTGAAAAATAAATTAAATTTATTTTAATTCAATCTAATTTAATCTAACTCATAACCAACCCAACCAACCAACCTATTTGCCACCTTTAGACTGACCTGTTAGTCCAATGGTCCACTAGGCCATGAAGATGAAATTGATATTTGAGGAACTAAATTGAAATAAATAAAAATTTATGGGCTAAATTAACCTTGAAGATAAAATTAGAGATCAATTATAAAAAGATTATAAAAATTGAAACAATGCGGATGTCGTCACTTATTAAATATCTAATAAGAACACATACTTTATTTGACTCGAAATATTCGTACCTTCTATCTATCGTATACAAATACGTACCTTATTGACAATCAACGGACTATCAAGGTCCTGTTGCCCCTTTATAGGATCTAAAAAGAGTGAAATCTGCATTGATAAGTTAGTCATATGAGATTAGACTTAGAATTAATCATAATTTCGGGCGTCTTATATTTAAATTGAACAAGTATTTTTTGAGTGTAATCGATTCTTATGATTTATAGACAATTGAAAATATCCACGATTTATTTTGTAGGATAGGTTCAAGGTAAGACTGATAATTGAACCGAATTATTCAGATTTGATTTATTTTGGGTTTGATTGGTTTTCTAAAAAAATCGATCTTCAATAATTTTTAAACTCGTTTATATATAAAATAGTTGAACTACTCGGACTCAGTTCATATTAGACTTTGTTTAAATTCGGCTCGTTTTTCTAAACGAGTAGAACGAGTCAAGTTTGAATAATTTTTTAAATTAATTTAGAAAAACAAGCTCGATCGACTTAATTTAAACTCGCAAAAATTCAACTCGATTATCAGTCATATTTCAAAGTCAAATCCTTTCTCCTAATTAAAAAAAATGAAAAGGGGGCAAAAATGAAAAATCGAGAAGTTCTAGACCAAATAAAATAAAATAAAGTGGGTTGGGGATAGCAACCAATATCATCCAAGAAAGCCGGAATTACTTGGACTTAGTTCATATTAGACTGTTTAAATTTAACTCGTCTTTTTAGATGAATCAAGATTAAATAATTTTTTAAATTTATTTAAAAAAACAAGCTTGACTGACCTAATTTAAACTGACAAAAATTCAACTCAATTATCAGTCGTATTGCAAAATTGAATGCTTTCTCCTAATTAAAAAAATGAAAAAAAGGGGCGAAAATGAAAAATAGAGAAGTTCTGGACCAAGTAAAATAAAATAAAATAAAGTGGGTTCTGGATAGCGATCGGCATTATCCAAGACGAGAACCCTGTAAATCTTTATCGTCGTATTATATCAATGCAGTTTTGTGTGTGTGTGTGTGAGAGAGAGAGAGAGAGAGAGAGAGAGAGAGAGAGAGATGGAGTTGTTTAGTTGCCTTCGACTGAGTAGGCTTCGGAACGGAGACGCAGAGCCGGAGACTCATGACTCTGCTGGAGAGAGAAACCTCGATACAGAGGTATCGTCTAGTGAGAGAAAGAGAGGGACTGAGGTTGAAGAACCTAGTGAGAGAAACGTAATTGCTGAAAATCCTACAGAAACTGCCACGGCAAGCCTTTCATCGGCTGAAGAGGGAAAGCTGAGATCCACTGAGAGCCCTCCGGCCGATGATTGTTGTCCAATCTGCTTCTGCAGCTTCGTCTTTCCATGCCGAGCACCCTGCGGCCACTGGTACTGCGGTAAGACTTCGAAATTTGAAACTCTAATCGCAAGCCACTTTTTGGTTCCTAAGAAGATTTATGAGAATGATTGCATGAAATTAACATTCAGTACTGTTTTAGAATGGTTGTTATTTTGCAGCTGAAGATTTATTGGCACTCTAGTTTGATTATATTATCGAGAAGGAAAGAATAAATGACTGGAGTTTTTTGTGTTGCGTAGTTCTTGCTTTAGGATCTGCTTAGTTGTTGTGACAGTGTTGAGAATGAAGGGAATAATTGTTTTGAATTTGAAATATATGATCAAGATCCTTGCCGTTTCGGAGCATGGAATTTGTTCTTGGAATTAGGAATCGAATATCTCATTGTTTTATCAAATTTTCCCCATTCCGTGTCCAAGGATTATATTCCATGTTTCCAAAGACAAACAGAAGTATATTTCTAATTGTTCTATAGATTGTTGCATAGTCAATGATGGATCTAAGTTGGTGTGGGAAAGGGCAATAATTCCCCCCCCCCCCCCCCCCCTTCCAAAAAAAAGAAAACACCAACAACCAAATAAAAAGAAAGAATAAAGACTTTTCGAAAATTTTGAAAGACCATCCCCAGGGTAAAGTCCTTGTACTATGGAATTTTGTAGTAAGGAAAGGATTAGTCTCCCATGTTATATGCAGGTCCAGTCCTCAAATTCTTAGCATTCTGGGAGATGCTACTTTTCAACTAGGATATGACCTTCTTCAAGTAATTATAATGGAAGCGCTAATTCCATTTTCCAGGTACTGTAACTCAATTGCATGTAGAAAGTTACTACCTGTACATTTTGTCTTGCCACTGAATTTCTCTTTTGTTTCAAAGTCCTTTGTTATGAAGTCGGCATTCTCCTAATTTTTCAGGTTCAAATTTGTATGTTTTAGAGTTAGTCTTCAATTTTTTCAGGTTTAAAAATCACATATTTTGAAGTTGGTTTTTTCCTTGTACAGGGGGTTGCATTTTGCAGTACTGGAACCATATTGCAGCACTTAAGCCTTGCAAGTGCCCCATGTGCTCTCAGCAGATTACTACTTTGACACCCGAAGCATCATTATTCCATCAGCCGGAAGTGGAGGTTACTGAGATTCTGAGCAATGTTCAGAGATATAATCGCCTTTTTGTTGGAGGCATTTATGGCCACATTGTGGTGGGTTGACATGACCTGCTTTTAAGCTTTTATAAAATATTCACATCTGAGCGAGCTTTGTGTAATCACTCATTCATCATTCCTCCCTTTTTGTCCGCACGTGTATAAACCTCTAGTTATGCTGTAAGGAGGCTCTGTTTGATTAGTTGGAGCCATTTGGATGCATTTTTTGCATGTTGCTTGTGTTCCATTGAAGGTGGTGTCTCCCTGTTTTACTGCAAAATAGAAAATAGAAACAGGTCATCCGAACAAAATATGATTCATCAAAATCTAACATGCAGCCAAACATGATTTCTGCTTCACCACTGGCCGAACAAAAGAACACTATTCTTGGCTGGTTGGAATTTACTGAGGTGGTGAATGTTTTTTTATGTCACGTGTCACAAGTCTTCCATTATGGCATGCTTGTGCCTGTAAGGTATGGTACTGATCACTGTAATGCCTTACTTTAAAAAAACATACCTTGGTACTTGCCTGATGTTTAGATCTTCCATTAAAGTTCACTTTGTGATTGAGGAATCACTTTTAATTTGTTAGGTGACTAGGGCAATTATTTTTACATTTTGATTGTATTTTATGGGATTTTTATTGCAACATTAAACAGCCAAAGCCACTCACAAGGCCATCATCAAGTATTGATTTGGTATTTTGAAAATATGTGGCCATATGGATATCCACCAACAATCATATGCAACATTTGCTCGGGGGTTGAATAAGGACATTACTAAAGCAACTAGCCCTTTATCTACTTTAGCTTTTATGTTCAGGCACATTTGCACCAATCAATGAATTGTTGTAAATTTGGAGTGCTATCATATCATGTCTCCTTCTGTCACTACCAGGGTCAATAGATTTTTGCTGAAACTTTAATCATATATTGCTTTAGGTTCCAGCATATACCCAAGTGTGGTTATCAGTAGTTAAAAATTATTGTTTAAAAGGAGCTTTTGGAATATCCAAAGAATATGAATGGGTGATTTGTTTTCTATTCATATGTCCGAGTAGTGGTTAAAACGACAACAATAATCTTGAAGATACTTGGAATATTTGTTGTATTTTTTTAGTAATTATGATCTCTGTTTTACAATAGTTGGGTGGGTCTTGGCATAGCGATATAGTTGTTCTATTGTGATCTGGGCGTTAAGGGTTCGAGTTGTGGATACAATATCTTGGCATGCTGGTTTAAGGTTGCATACATTTGACTCTCTGCAAACTCTGGGCGAACCTCGTGTACTTGGCTGCCCTTCGTTTTTTTGTTTTATAATTACTTTAATTGATCTGTCCATAATTTAAAATTGATTCTCCTGTATTTTTTAGTGTCATAATTGATAAGTTTGTCTTATCTAAAATAATTAACAAACTGGGAGTGCCAGCTGGTTGCAAAAATTTTCATTGATCTTTGATTGCATGGAGTAAGGTTAGTAACTGCAAACTTTTTTGATTGACTATCCATCTTTAGTATGAATGTTCACTACGATTTAGTTGGATGATATAGGCTCACAGTTTTTTGGATTGTCACTTGATCCCAACCCTCATGCCTGCGTCTTTGTTGATTGTCTCACAAATGCGTTCAGCATTTCATGACTGCATGATTATCTTTCCTTTGTATTTAAATTCTCTCTTCCTTTTGTTTTTGCCAGAAAGTGCTTGAGTTGCCATTGGTCACTAAGAGAATAGTTTGTGAAATGATGGATCCTGATAGACCTGGTGCTCACCTCAAAAACTTGCGCCTGCTTGCAGTTAAGTTCATCTAACAGTTGATGAAATCAAATGTAATACATTACCATTTCGTTTTTTTATACTTCAGTTTTCCTGTTGGCCTTAAATTTTCTAGGACTAGCAGCCGTCTCGGTGTCCGCTATGAACAAGAAGTATTTGTGCACAATGATATATGGACGTGTGCGTGCGTGCGTGCGTGCTTGTTTATAATTTGTCAGTCTCTATGTCGTGTTTGTTTTGGATTGCTCAGTGTTTGTGTGGTCTTATTTTCTAGGTGTTTGAACTGATCAGTTGTGGTGTGATTCAGTGATTCACATCCATATGTTTTGAATTTTGAGTTTCTTGGAATCTGTGAGGTGCAGGTATTTGGAATTTCTAAATTCTTATTTGTGTTTGGATGGAATTTTTTGTCCTAGAGTACTTTGTGCATTGTCATGATAGTTGATAAGATTTTCAAACCTGGTGAGGATTCTGAAAGAGATATCAATTGGGTTGTCTTCAAGCCCTGGGAATTAACAGTGAAATACGAGAAAGCTAGTGGAAACATGGGTGGTGTTTTACCGGATTAGTGTTCACCACCTGTCGGATTACGATTGAGCTTTTACATACATACTCATATATGTGTATATTTTAGGGGTGGGGAGGGTTTGCCGACTGCTGTTTACAGTATTTGACCTGCTGTACTGTTAGTAGCATCTTGATCTGTTCATGATAAGTGTATTTATGCTCGTAACATGATCAGCTCATAGAGTTGTTCCAATCCAACTGGTTACATAACCCTCTAGAGCAAATTGTAGATGAATATGTACCATGTAATGCCTATATTCAATTAAGTAAATTTTGTGAGGATGTAATCTTCACTGTATCATATTTTGGCTGTAACAAACTACTCTATTCATGTACTCTAACTACTCTTAAGGCATTACTGTTTCAAATATAGACATTTGCCTCATGAACCTTATTTGTTGAAGCAATTCATAGTTGTCTTTCTTGTTTGCAGATATTTTTGGGTTTCCTTTACGCAATCAGCCCCTTTGACTTCATTCCAACAGGTATTTTGCCTCGATCTTCGAATTAAGAAAAGAATGGTGATTTTGCTCATGGTTTTTTGTTGTGGTCATGTTTATTGTTAAAAGAGAAAAAAATAAGATGATTGAAGTTTGAACGAGTTTCTTGGACCCTCTTTTAAGTTAGGAATATGCCCTATAATTATGTCATTTATGAGGTGAAAAAATCATTTTTTTTTGTTGATTCTCATTGGTGAACATTTGGTGTTTGATCTTCTGGACCAAGTTCATTTGGGTTCATTGTGCTTGTTTTGGTTTTTCCCCAGGTTTCAAATTGTGCCCTCCCTTTTGGCCATAGAATTGCTCCATGCCCCAAACTCAAACCCAAACAAGTAAACCCGCAACAAACCAAAAACCGAAAAAAAAAATCTAGGCAAGAATGCACACCATATGCAGAAATTTGATTGTAGGGACTTGATCCTCGAGTTTTTGGTATGACTACCAAGACTTTACTAGCACCAGTGTCGTGAACCTTGCTCCACTCATATTGCTTGACAACCATTCTTTCCTGTCTGATATTGGTTAAGCGACCTGGTTTTTTTCCCCTGAAATCTTATGCATCACTTTGTTGCATCTAACATCATTTTGTTGCATTTAACATCAAATCAAGTTCTCTCTGCTGTTCTGCAGGGTATCTGACTATCATAGATGTTTTTGATTACTCTGCTATGGTTCTCTCTTTCATCTTATATTTGGCCGGCCTCTATCTCCGACGAAGACGTTTCCAACAAGTGAGGGAGTTGGCTGCCATCCAAAGGTGACTTTTTTGAACTGCTAGCTTCTGCACGATTGCACCACGTCTCCCCCTTCAATTCTGGGATGGATCTTGGAACTTGGTGATTATATGGATTGGTGCTGTTACCTTGCAGCTTGTCTGTATCTTTCTATAGATATCTACTTTAGCCTAGGGAATTTGAATAGTAAGTTGGGTGTCATTTGGTCAAAAACTTGGATCAGTATGTACTGGTACAAGTCAATGTATATGGGAGCACCTTCTCTTTTTGTTTCCTTTTTCTGTTCATTTGGGAAAAGATGTACTTTTTGTACGAGTTTATTGCATATTGTGTAGGTGGGATGGAAAGTTTGATTAATAACGAGTAAATATTCACAATGTCATCATTGTGACGTGTCACTATTCAATAAGAAAGAACCAAAAGAATAAAGTGACTCTAATTTTTACATGAAGTATTTATTAAATTATATTGAGGGACTAGTAATAAATTTGTGCTTGAAGATACTTTGTAATATTAAAAATTGAGCATTGATTGTGTAATATTATATTTTAAATAGTAATTTATTTTTATTTAACTATACAATTAATAATTAAAGTGAACATAGAGAAAATAAGAAAGGCAGGGGAGAGAGAAGAGAAACACTGGTGTGGAATTGATATTGGAGGTCGTGAAGAAAATAATATTTTTTAATTGGTTCAATTTTGATTGTTGTGTTTTTATAAGTTGAGAATTTAACTTTTCAACTATAATATTAGATAGACTAGTAATAGTCTCGTATCTAAAAATACTATGTTATATTAAAAATTGAGTATTGATTGAGTAGTAATTATATTTTAAATAATAATTTTTTAATATGTTAAAATTAAAGTGAAAAGAGTAATACGAAAGTGAGAAGTAGATGTGAGTGTTGGTTGAATCAAGTAGAAGAAAATTGCATAATTTCTAATTTTGGAATTTTTATAAATTCAGAATTCAATTTTTTAATTATAAAATTAAAAAAAACCTATAGTATTAAATAGATAGTTATAAAATTGTTATAAAATCGCTTAGGGCATTTTTAACTTTGACTCAAATTCAAACTCAAATTAAAATTTGAGAAAAAAAATTCAAAAAAATTACTCTAATTTTTGACTTAAACTTATATCAAATTAAGAAAAAAAATCTTTTTTGAACCCAAATTGATGGATACCCGAACTCTATATCAATATCCAACGGCTACTTTTTCTCTTCGATTCAACGCCTTCGCCAAACAAACTTCTTCCTTTCAACGCCTCTAGATTTTCAACGCCACTAGAAGCCAGGAACGACGACATCGACCGCCCATCGTTCTTCTTCCCTTCAAAATTTGTTTTGGTATAAACTCTTACCTTACCCATTGTTGCAACTAGTAGAATCCCCTTCAATTTTTTAATTTTTTTTTTCTGTTTTTTCTACTTGGTTATGACTTTTGTGCAACCGGTGGAATCCCCTTCATCGACTGCCCAAGTGTGTGGGATCTTTGTGCAACTGGTAGAATCCCTTTCATTGATTTTCAGCAATTTAGGATTTTTCCTGCCATTGTTGATGAACTTTTGTGACAATATTGAAATTTTTTAAAAATATTGAAATTTTTTAAAAGAATTGAGTAAATATTTAAGTTTCTCTATTAGAGTAATATGTACAAAATCAATCTTTTTATTCAAATTATTTTTACATAAATTTGAGTAAATATTGAACTTCCATCGGAGATGCTCTTAAATAGATAATTAAACACATTATGAAATCACTTTTCCGCATTTTAATTATCCATGTCATATCGTCACCGACTCAGATGACATGGGACGATTTAGTTGTGACATATCAAGTGATATATACGAAATGTAAAACATAACTAATTGAACGGGACAAGAAATTAACCTCACACCTCACATAATAACATCAATCTAATGATTCAATAATTCAGACAAGTCACAATATTTTTAAGTCAAACTATGAGTCGAGTGAGACTTGTGATTTACATTGCAACATTTATTGATATCAAAAATCAAAATGTATGGTATCATTTTAAATGGAACTCTACCAAGTCGTATGTACAATTTAGAACCTCCCACATTTATCCCATTATTGACTAAACCAATCTTACTCTATACACAGCCCCATGACAAGTGGAAAATAATGTATTATAACGAGTAGCCATACATAAACCAACTTTATCCTGGTTGTTACCAAAATGCAATGCAAACAAGGAAACTGAATCCCAACAGAAAATAATCCTTTTATTACATAAAATCAATAATTATTTACAATTTCTACTTTATTCATGAGTGATTATTACACAATACAGTCCCCTACCTACCATATACACTGTACCCACAGAACCAAGAATAACAGCATTGTCCTTCCTTCACATGTTTTCTATCAACTGTGCATACCACGGCCCATGAACACCACTCGACACGGTAGCTGCCACCAACAATACTGTTGCAGCTTCCACCACACGATCCATTAGAATGACTGCCCCCACCTGCCGCAGTGACATCTCCGCCAATTCTCTTCCATCTGTCCCAGTACCCCCAAGTACCACTCCTCTTAGAGCCAAATATATTGCATGGGACACCCGAGTGAAAACAGCATCCCCAGCTTGCAAGCTCTTTGCTAACATTCTGGACATAACATCCTTCCTTGACTGAAGTTTCACGGGATCCATGGGTTTGTCGACATGTTCTGTCACTTTGCTGAGTATCTCCATGATCTCCTTCATACCCGCATCCTCAACAGTGTCAAGGAGCTCGGACAGTTGTTTGGCACAGGTCAATACCATGCTTTCCATCACTGCAAGGCTGCCTACCTTTTGTTCACTGATAAGAGTCTGCCTCAGAACTAGAATGCTGCACATATACATGAATCAGAGAAGATGTATGAGTATGTATGGATATGAAGACATGATAGAACATTGATGGTCCCCGATTCCAGTTCCCATTCATTCAAGACATGACTCAATTTGGAGTAGATATTCAAAATAAGATGGGAACACGCTATCAGTGACACATGGAATAACTACTGCATTCAACATGTTCCAATAACCATCACATATTTATATGTGAGGTTCACAGGAAGTGTTGGAACTGTCGGTGGTCATATACCAGATCACTTGGTATGAACGTTGTATAGAATATTTACTCTAAAATTTGATCACCACCGCACCCCCATTTTTCTCTCCTCCAGCAGGGTGGTGTATGCGGCTCAAATGGGGGCACGAGGGTGATGGAAGAAATACACCATTTCTGTTTAACTGACTGGGTTACTAATCATTTGTTTGCTGCTGATAACGTACTATTAAATCCCATCAGAAAGTGGGAAAGAAAGAGGGTAAAATCCAGTATGACTTACCTGGTGGCAATTACAATGATCTTCTGAAGTTGGGCCTGAACATCCCTTAACCTACAGAGGTTGAGCTTCAGAGTTTCAGGCAACAATCCTTGCGTCAGACCAGATACGCCCCTCACCAACTTCAATAAGCCAAGCCTCACCAACAAATCAACGTTTTCTCCTGTGCATTGCGGATGTTGATTATCTACTCCTTGAACTGATGGGCTTGGTTGGCTTTCACTCATTTTGGTCAAGACACTTCCGCCAGTTCTAAGGGTGGTGGAAGGAAGAAGTCGCTCAGGTAAACTTTCCTGTCTCTGTGTCAACTTTAAGAGTGCATTCACGTGTTCATTCCATTCCTGGTCTTTAATATCACTCACAGATGAAAGCCACTGCATTGTCAGAGGTAGAGCAGTCAAGCCAGCAGAGGGAGGTCCATAACGGTGGGCAAAAGATTTTTTCAAATAATCCAAGCCAGCAGGACCCTTCAATAATGGTTCCAACATTTTCATGCGGGCTTTGCTAATTTCTTGCTTGAGTGCCTGCCACAAAAAACACCTGTTACATTATATATTGCACGTAGGAGTTGCAGCCTACAAAGAAATGCACATGTACATATCCTAACATGCTTCCTTTACCAATGATGATGTGCAATGGGGCTGATAATTCATAATATCTTATTATTATTTGTGCAGTTCCTAGTTTGATTTCAAACATTTATCACCACTGAATCATGAAGGATGACAAACTCTTGACCACTTAGTTCATTTTATCCATTCCCATTTTTTCATCACCATCATCATCATTATCATGACATCTTTTCTCATGTATATAAAAATCCCGACATGTTTTTCTGTTCTAGATAAGCAGTTCTGTCTACATCTAATATTTATCCCAATTATGCTAACACTCTTAAATGCCACAGTTCCTCCACAGAAGTCTTAACGCAGAGCAGCAGACACTGATTTATGTATGCAACAGAATGGAATATAGAGAGAATGAGCACAGACAAACACCTGAATCTGCTCTAACACAAAGCGCAACCCTTTGATCAATGCGATGACATTTGTTTTATCCAAGCTATCTCTAGCCTGACATATCTCAGTTAGTTCTTTCAATAATTTCTGATAATCTGCCTTTAGTGCATCCTCGTTAGCTGGAGCGGAGAGCTTCTGCAACGTAACCAGTGAAAACTCCAGAATCCTTCCAAGATAATCCATGTCCAGTGTACCCAAATTCAGCACCTAATGAGGAAGAAAGATAACAGAATCAACATCTAGTTCAACTGCCAACAATGACTACAAATCTTGGTAGCAACAGGAGTTTTATTAATCAGAAAACACTACCTGAGAAAGAATGTCCAGATCAATAGCTTCAATAATTTCTTTTTTCCAGCTTTGAGGAGCCATCTCACAAATTTCGTCCCTCACTTCCCTCAAAAGTTCAACAACGCGGCCATAGTTCGGTTCATCCTGTTTCATGGATTCTATGACGCCATCCCAGAAAGCCTGCTCCATTGTTTCCCTTACCCTTGCCTACACAATAAGTAAGCAATTAAATCAGTTTATACAATTTCAATTTGAGGCTGAAGAAAAAAAATATCAATTCTGTTTTTCGATTCTTTTGATAACATTTTGGGGTGTTTATCAACTTCCAATTCTTCTATGCACAGTAGTCAT